CTGCAGGGACCCCAAAATCTCTGCCCTGCCCAGCATCCCTGGCAGATGAGGGGAACTTGGGGGGGGTCTGAGCATCCAGCTCCCACTTGGGCGATGCTGAATGTGCAGCTGGGCTGGAGCTCAGCTCCTTCCCCAGGAGGAGGGTGGGTGCTGCATCCCCGCTGCCAGAGCAGGGACCCCTCCACGGAGCCATGGCAGCTCTGCAGACCTGGGTGCTCTGACAGTCCCCATTGGGTGCAGTTCCTGGGGGACGTGCAGCTCTTCTGATGCCCGGTGGGTGCCTTGGGAGAGGGGAGAGACCAGTCCGATCCGCTGCATCCATGCGTACAGGGGAGCACCCGTGTCCTCGGACCACCGGAGATGAGTGGGGTGCAGGGGTGCTGAGAGCCCAGAGGAGTTAGCGTTGTGCCTGGAGCTGGCTTGGGGGATGGCGTGCGTCCCCGTACATTTATGGATGAGATCCTTTATTGACCAACTGGCCCCTTCCCCTCCCGGCTGCCCTGGGACAGCCCTGGCCCTGCAGGTCACCTCCCACCCCAGGGGCTGTCTGGTGGGGAGCCAAACAGCAAGACACGGTCTGTCCCCCAGCTGGACCCTCTTTTGGGGGCTTGCAGGGTGTTTAACAGCTGTCGTTGGTTCCTTCATTCAGGCCTTGTTTTGGTGGCAGGGAGGGGATGGAATGCAGCACCTGGTCCTGCCCCCCCTGAGTTTCGGGTGCCAGGGATGGGAATACAAAGATCTGGGATGAGAAAGGAGTCTGTTGCCTGCAAGGACATCCATCCAGGTGCTCGGTGTCTCCACTGCCCTTGCTGTTCTCCAGAGGGCAGGGGGGTACCCCAGGCTGCTGGGGGGAATGGGGTGGTTGGGGCGCACAGGGCCCATGGGACGACAAGGATGCAGCAAACGTGGTGGCTTTGTGCTGCCGAGGCTGCAAGTGGGTCCTGGGAGAGATGCAGGGCTCGGCACCGAGCTGGCCTGGCTGGAGGGACGCTGGCAGCTACGAGCCTTGGGCGAGACACCGACAGCAGCAAATCCTCAGTGGTGAGACACTAGTCCTGGGCGAATTGCTTGGGAGGGGAGAGCAAGACATGGGGAAAAGTAGAGTCTCCTTGTGCTCTGTGCAGGGAAAGCAGCAAAAAGTATTCTTGGAGGGAGAAGATGTCAGCTCTGCTGCAGCCTGTGGTGATGAATGGGTTCCTGGATTAGTCCTGGGGGAGCTGTAATCCCAAGAGCCCAAAAAGCATCTTGCTGGGACAAACACAGATAAACCTGGAGCTGCAGGAAAGGCCAGCTGAGGTGGGCTGGGGCAGTGATGCTTTCCCTCCCATGAGTGATTTATCCAGCCATTCTCCAGCTCCGGGGGCTGCAGTGGGTAAAACGTCCATCTGAAACATGGCCCCCGGGAGTGTGGGGCATCAGCGGCTGCTCCGGGCTTGGGGTTGAGGTGGGTGGGTGTATGTCAGAGGCGGCTGGAAACACGGGAGAAACAGCGGCCCAGTGGGAATGCCGGGGCTGCAAAAGCATCTGGGGAAAGTTTGGCTGAAAAAAACTCTGGAGCAGTCACCGTGTCTCTTCCCCCATCAGTGGGGAGCTATGGGGAGCAGCCGGGTGGGAAGCTGGTGGTGCAGGGTGCGGAGGGGCTGGGTGGTGGGATGGGGACCGATGCCTCCCCGCTGCTCCTGACTTGCCGGGAGAAGAGCTGTGTTGATCCTTGTTCTTGTTCTCCTCTTCCCCGGCTAATGAAGGCTCATTAAGGGCTTTCGGCTTCTCCCTTCCTCCAAAATGTCCTCTGTCTGTGTTCCCCCTTCCCACACCATCAGTTCCAGCACCTCAGAAGGCAGCAGCAGCAGCTTCTGGAGAGAGAAAATATGGGAAGGGTCCAGGGTTGGCGCTCTGTGGGTTGGGGGGGGGGGATTTGGAGGTGCCCTGGGCTTGCACCCCCTCTCCTGGGCTTGCATCCCAGTTTCTGGCAGAGCTGGGTGGTCAGGATGGGGGCCAGCTTGGGGGTCCTGGTCTGCCCTCATGGTCTTGGGTGGGACTAGATGGAGTCGGGGGCAGCCGGTGGGGTTTGTGGAGCGCAAACAGGACTGTATAGAGTTGGCGGGGAGATGGGGAGGCTGGAGGGATCCAGGGGGAGGGGGGACAGGAGGGCTGGGGGTGCCAGCGCCCTCCCAGCCCCATTCCTCCCTGAGGGTCCCGCAGCGTGTTCCCTTACCGGCCCGTGGCAATGGGGTGTTGCTGCTCAGGCTTTTTGGCATCTCCCCACTCCTCCTTTGGCGAGCTCGTGCCCCCCAGCCCAGGCCAGCCCCCCCCTTTGGCATTCACCACGTGCCTTAATTGCGTGACGTTAAATCAAGGTCTGCAGTGAACACAAAACGCTGGGGCTGATGGCTGGGTGCACGCGGCAGTGGAGGAAAGTCCTGGGGTCCCTGCTCCATCCCCAAAACCTCATCACCCCCCTCGGCCCCGGGACCTCCATCACCCACCCTGCTGGGACCAATCTGTTCCCCCCCCCAGAGCAGGCACTGGGGGGACAAAAGTCACAGCAGATTAGGGGACTGGGACTGCCCCCATCCCCTGTCCCTATAGAAGCCCAGATGCATCACCCTCACCACCGACCATTTAAATGGTCCCTCCTTCGATTTGAGGATCACCAAGTTATCGCAACTCAAATAATATCACGTGCGCCAAGTTTTAATGCCTCTCTGTGTCAGCTTGTCCTGAGAGACCGATGTTGGGAATACCTAGGATTTTATATGTGTCCCAGCTCGAATCCTGGGAAGGGGTATTGTAACTCCCCTAACCAATACTACTGTAGTTATTGGGGATGTGAGACCATTGCCCCTGCCTGGATTCCGGGTAGTGGTAGAGACAAACACCTAAAAGTCCAGTGGGGTCCATATGGGTGCATTCCACCGCAAGCATGGCGAGGACATGGAAATTGTCAATACCTTTTCTTAAATGTTACCAAGCCCCAAGAAGACAGTTGGTTACTTGGAAGAGTTTGGGGAATAAGGGACACAGAACCAGGGACAGACAAGGGGGGCCTGATTCTC